AAGCTGGAAATATATCAAATATTGTACTTTAAAAAAATGTATCTATTTATTGGGAGCAAGGGACATGTGAAAGTCAGGGGACAACTTGAAGGAGTCAGTTTTCTGATGTGGGATATGAATAACATTGGTAAATAAAGAAGCTGTTTTGGGCCTGTGACAGGGTAGAGCAGAGCTAGGTGGGGAAAACTAAACTGAATGCTGTGAGAAAGAAGGCAGAGTCAAAGAGAAGCCATGTAGCCCCGCCAGAGACAGATGCCAGACAGAACTTTACCCGGTAAGCCGCAGCTACATGGCGATAAACAGATGAAAAGAAGTAAGTTAAATCCACAGAGAAACCCTGTATCGGAAAACCAAAAAAAAAAAAAAAAAAAGAGAGAGAGAGAGAGAGAGATGGTGGAGATTTTAGAGAGTGATAGAATACAGAAATTAGTCAAAGTATCATTTGACAACCAAGAGATGGCCTAGGGGATGAGACATGCCACAATAATAACTGCCTTGTTGGCATAAGGATTATTTAGAGTTGAAGATGATTGAGAAGTAGCAAGACATCCAACATGTCCTCTACTCTTCCCTTATTTGCTTACAAACCAGACATGGTTTCTAACTGTAAAATTATCTCCCTCTCTCTACCAGCATGAGCACAGATGGTTCTGCTTTGTTCAAATACTTCATGTGCATGAGCGTTCTGTCTGCATGCATGTTGGAGGACCATGTTACACAATGCCTGTGGAAGCCAAGAGGGCGTCAGATCCCTGGAACTGGAGTTACAGGTGTTTGTCAGCTGCCCTGTAGGTGCTGGGATTTGAACCTGGGTCCTCTATAAGAGGTTAAGTGCTCTTAAGAGCTGAATCATCTCTCCAGCCCATTTCTGTTTGAAGAGCTGGGGTCAAACTCGATCTCACACACAGAGAGCGTGACTCTGCTACTGAGCTACATGCTCACTGCTCCCCGCTAGACTTTTAGTTACTGGAGACAACTCTAGATGTTTGAACTGAAAGTGGCACAGTGCATAACAAACGGTGCTAAGTAGTGCACCCTGCATTGTTACCACCCTTCAAATCGAAGCCATTTCCTGTGTCTTGTCGTTTCTCTCCTCTTCTCTTGTTGTTATTGGCTGTACCTAAGCTAGTTATTGCTGAGTTTCTCTGTGTATATGCATTTCTGTGGGTAATAAAACTCTTTTTTTTTTTTTTGGATTTTTTTGAGACAGGGTTTCTCCGTAGCTTTTGGTTCCTGTCCTGGAACTAGCTCTTGTAGACCAGGCTGGCCTCGAACTCACAGAGATCTGCCTGCCTCTGCCTCCCGAGTGCTGGGATTAAAGGCGTGCGCCACCACCGCCCAGCAGTCCAAAATCTTGGAAATCTGTGGTAACATTTACTGATGTTTGTCAGAATAAATACTCCATGTGGTTAAAAAATAAAGGTATACTTTATATCATCTAAAACATTAAGCAGAAGTAATGTTAACTTAATAAACCAGTAAAAATGATGAGCTAAAGAAAATTTGGGGGGCTAGGGAGATGGTTCTGTGAGTACGAGTGCTTGTTGTGCAAGCATGAACTAAAGGGGAAAGGGGGGTTTGTTTAAAATAGTAAATCAGTAAGTCACTTCTAAATTTAAAGAAAACAAAATTGGAGTTGAAAGAATAAGTAGGTTTCCAATTGGCTATTGCCGTTTTTCTTTGAAAAATAAACATTTTTTAAAAAACGAAAAAAAAAAAGAGTTTAAATCCCAAATGCCCATGTAAAAAGACAGGTGTGATCTGGTCAGTGGTGGTGCATGCCTTTAATCCTAGCACTCGGGAGGCAGAGGCAGGTGGATCTCAGTGAGTTCAAGGCCATCTTGGGCTACAAAGCAAATTCCAAGACAGTCAGGTGTGGCTGGATCCAGGGCTTTGTGGCTGAAAGTACTGGCAGCTCTTCCTTAGGACCTGGTTTTGATCCTCAGCTCTGATGTGGCAGCTCACACCCTGATCTAGTTCCAGTCCCAGGGCATCTGACACTCTTCTGGCCTCCAAGCACCCTGTATGCAAGTGGTGCCTCCTCATGCATGCAGGCAAAAAAGCCATATATGAAAAATAATAAGATAATAACCAAAGCCTCCTGAAAAAGTCAGGTTAGCAACCTGACAAGATGACTCAGCAGTTAAGAGCACTGGCTGTTCTTCCAGAGGACCTGGGTTCAATTCCCAGCAACCACATGGTGGCTCTCAGTCATCTTTAACTCTAGTCCCACTGGATCCAATACCCTCTTCCGGCCTCTGTAGGTTCTACCTGTACAAGGTTGAGCAGATATACATGCAGGCAAAACACCCTTACACATAAAATGAAAAGTCCAAAAGAAAAAGCCAGATACAACTTTCTGTGCTGTATCTGCTGCACAGGGCAGACAGGAAGAGGTGGATCCTGGGAGCTGGGCTTGTTTGAGTGAGAATTAACCCCCCATCATGGGCTTAGTCCTTAGTTGGTGAACCTTTAGGAAGGATTAGGAGGTGTGGTCTTGTTGGAAGAGGTGTGTCACTGGGAGTGGGCTTTGAGTCTCTCTCTCTCTCTCTCTCTCTCTCTCTCTCTCTCTCTCTCTCTCTCTCTGTCTTCTACCTGAGGCTCAGGATGTAAAGCTCTCAGCAATTACTATTACTTTGGCACCAGCCGCATCTGTCTTCTTCCCGCCATAATGATCAGGGACTGACCCTCTCAAACTGTGTGTCAGCCCCCAACTGAATGTCTTCTTTTCGAAGATTCATGGTGTCTCTTCACAGTGCAAGAACACTAACTAAGACACTGGCCAGCAAGCCGAGCCAGAACGGAGAGCTTCTGGTCCATAGAGAGAGCCTGTCTAGAGGCAATAAGGTGAACGCGCTAGAACGAGACTCTCGAGGTCCTCCTTTGGCCGCCACATGTACTTGTTAAGAGTGTGTGTACCTCTCTCATACACGTAATAAAAGATTTAAAATATGTTCATTCGAATTGAAATGTGCATTAATTTAGTCACATGTGTATAAATATGGTCCATGCCTGTGACTAGGAACATAACCACCTGTGAACTATACTCCAGTCCATCTTACCTTTTTTTTTTTTTTTTTTGGCTAAACCCAAATCATTAGTTTTTTTGTTTACTAGAGCTTTGTCTCATCATGTTAACTTGAGTTTCTAAAATCTTTCTGAGTTTTTTTTTCCAATGAGAATACTTCTTTGCTAAGAGTACTGAAGGATCAGTTTCCTTAATGTCTGTGAATTTTAGAAAATATTCAATTTATATGATGCTTATTTATCCCAAAGCCAACTGAAGTAGAGCCCTCCTCTGAGAGTTTATAATCTAACTTGTTAGGTCCATGTGGAGGCAGGAAAGTACATATATTCTAGCCCTGAGAGGTAAAGGCCCGCCTGGGTTCAGGGATGTACCTGGACAGAGAAGTAAGAGCAAGCCCTTAGAGACTTTTCTCTAAGACCTCAGCCCTGACCCTGAAGAGTGTCACAGTACCAGAGAGAGCCAGGACCCCTCTCCTTGTGACCTGGCTCTGGATGGACAGAGCGACCAAGACCAGCCATGCACAACAGCCCTGCTTTCGGATCATGGTGGAAGGCAGCCAAGCCATAGAAATACCTCCCAGACACTGATCCTAGGTCACCCACCTGCCAGGCCCTCGTGGCTAGAGCTACTGAAGACAGCACTTAGAGATCTCAACAGTGGTGTGTGTGGCCACAGACCACTGCTCTAAAGGAAATAAGAGATGCTTTATCCCGAGCCACACAGGAGTGATGGAGACCCAGGATGCAGATGCAGGCTAGTCTACTCCTAAGTAGGAGAGGTTATATGGACTTTTGTAGCCAAAGGAGGAAGGAAGCCACAAACCAATGCATTTAAAAAAAAAATTGTTCTTGGTTTACATACGGGTGTCTTGCCTTCATGTGTATATATGTACACCATATGTGTACCTGCCGCCTGTGGAGGTCAGAAGAGGGCACTGGATTCTTTGGAACTGGAGTTATGGATGGGTCTTTTGCACAAGCAACAAGTGATCTTAACTGTCGAGCCGTCCCATAATCCAGCCCCATAAATCAATACATTTAGCAAATACAGCGGTGGGGGCATTCGCAAGATCGTTCTTTTGGGTCTCAGCTGTTACCTGTTAGCATCTGCGCGTGAGGGCTGCTGGAGGCAAGTGGTCTGCCTTTCATCAGGCTACAGCAAACATTAACTAAGCTTAACAATACATTCCAAGAGGTTTACCCAACAGTCATGAGAATGTTAGGCCAGATGCAAAGGTTAAAAGTAAATGGCATGGGGGAAAAAATAAACAGTGTGGGGCTGAAGGGATGGCCTAGGGGGAGAAGTGTGCCTGCTGACCAAGCACGGGGCACTGAGTTTGGATCCTGGGCACCCAGGTAAAAGTTGGATCTGGAGGCGTGTTCCTGTAACCCCGGTGCAGACGTAGCGTGATATCGAGGGGGGGGAGGGGGGAGCTTGCTGGCTAGCTAGTATTTAGGGAGAGATCTTGTCTCAAAAATAGATAGATAGATAGATAGATAGATAGATAGATAGATAGAAAGGTTGAGAGTCCTAGAAGACACCTGATATTAACCTCTGACCTCTGTCCACATGTGCAAACATGGGTGAGCGTACCTGTGCACATATCACACACACACACACACACACACACACACACACAACATTTTTTATAGTTTTTTTAAAAAAAAAACACCAAAAAACCAAACCCACTGTTTGTCTGACGGGTCTAAGAGAGCCTAAGATGGTTTTGGCTCCAGGAGCTCCCCTCTGCATCTTCCCTGGCTCTGTCAACTGAAACCAGAGTGCCCTTCACCCTGATGCCTTATGTCACTCCTTGGGATGCCTTCAACTTCTGACTGCTGGTCACCTATGTATTTCCTTGCTCAAAGATTGACTCTGCGTTTCCCGGTCTAAGGTCGATGGCTAACAGTTCTGCCCTCTGAGAGGCTATGACTTGTTCCATCCCCTGCAGACCACACCCAGCCGTCAGCTAACCAGCTGTCTGAAAACGTTAACATCCTTGACCTGGTAAAGTCCAACCCGTGGCTACCGAACTGAGAAGAACAATGCTTTATTCTTCCAAGAGCCAGTTTGAACACAGGAGTTCCGCCTGCAGCGTGCGTCACAGCAGCCCAGCCTCAGGGTGGTCTCTTAAGACAAAGCCCGTGTCCAAATCCTGACCTTTCCTCCTCTACCAGGTACATCCGACCCACACCCCGTGGGTCTCCTGCAATCAAGGACAATCGGGAATGCACGGTTTACAGCCCTACTTGAGGTAGGAGATGTTAGTATGTGATTTAATGGTTTGTTTGTAACTCGACTGTGCAGTTCTCAGGCATGAACTTTACAGGTGAAGATGTCGAGTTGCAATATCAAAAGGCTGCCCGCCTGCTGGGTGAAACCTCCTTTGGACCTGCTCCTACACGGGCTAGTTCTGAATGAGAGCCTCTGCCGTGTGCTGCTTAGATTGCAACTGAGCGAAACCTGAATCCTGGGCGCTCTGCTACTCAAGAAGGACAAAACCATTCTGGGTCTCCTGGGAGTCCCAGCGGCTGCCTGGCAGAGGAAGTGCGGCTGTGGAGGGGTGTGTACTCTTCTTTTGAGATGCCCCCGAGCCTCTGTTTCTTTGTGCTTTCTGTGAGTCTGGTGACGGAGCAGAGCTCTCAATGGAAGGGCATAGTGTGGGCTGAGTCTCCTTGCCCACTGCTGCCCCACCTCTGTTCTTATCGCCAGCAAAGGAGGAGGACCAGCAGTCACCAGTGATTCAGTACTCCTCCAGGCCGTTGTCTAACCTTTCACACACAGGCATTCTGGTACCGACAGCATCACACGGATGTATTTATGAGCCTCTGACAGCTCGCTCTCCAGAACAATTTAAGTTGGGTGCGGTTGTGTACACTTGTAATCCTACTTGGGAGGCTGTGGAGGCCTCACTCCAGAGTGCAAGGCCATCCTGAACTCACACAGAAAGGCCCCATCTCAAAAAAAAAAAAAAAAAAAAGAGGAAGGCTTTACATTTCTTTGAAGATTTCAAAGGATTTAATGGTCCACGCTTAACGGTTGTAAAGAGATCTCCAAAGAGGAGGCAATTATAAAGTTACTTCCTTTAAGGACCTTTAGGAAAAGCAAGTTAAAATCTGAAGACTTGCTGGGTATAGCAGCATAGGCCTTTGCCTGCAGGACTTGGGTGACAGAGGCAGGAAGATCTCTGTGAGTTGGAGGCCAACCAGGGCTATAGAAAGAGACCCTGTCTCAAAAAAAATAAAAATATCTTAAGATTGTACAACTTGTCGTGTTCCTTATGTTTCATAAGTTACCAGTGTGTGTAAAATGTCCAAATAGCCTTCTGTATTGACTTCATTTCATTCCTGTACTTTGTATAATTTATTAATTTTGTGTGCAGTACTGAGGACTGAACCCAGGCTTTCATAGATTCTAGACATGCTCTCTACCACTGAACTGCATCAAAAGTCACTTATGTATTTGAGGTGGGGTCTGACTAAGCTGCCCAGGCTGACCTTGAGACTGTGGAGGTGGTTAGGTTATAGGCCTATACCAGAACGTTGTATCATTTCCAGTCTTTTAAATGAATTGAGAAGCCAGGTGGTGGTGACTCCCACCTTTAATCTGTGAGTTCGAGGCCAACCTGGTCTACAGAGTGAGTGCCAGGACAGCCAGGGCTACACAGAGAAACCCCTGTCTTGAAAAACAAAACAAACAAACAAAGTGGATCCAGAAGATCTCGTGACCTAAGAACTTGCCCTGGGGAGTGTCCATCTGAGAATAAATGCTGCCAGGCTGTAGGGGGCAGTGCCTTGGTTCATAATGTCCTTGTTGATCCTGTCTAGTTGCTCCATTGAGTGTGAAGTATTGAAGTCTCACGTTATTGGTATTGAATCATCTTACAGCTTCCTTCAATTCTGTCCATTTTTGAGGCTCGGCTGTTAATTGCAAATGCATTTATAATTGCTATATTATTGATTGACTCTCTCTCACACGCACCCTCTATTCCTGAGACAGAATCTTGCTACAATTACCAACGCCTTTAGACCCGCAGTCTTCCTGCTTTCCCTCTGGAACGCTGCGGTGTCGGGCACGCCCCTCCATGCCTGGGCTCGCTTGTCTCCTGTTATAAACCCTCCTTTACCTCTAGCGACCATTGTTCCTATGCCACTCTAGCTGCTATCAGTTATCATTCACCTGGTAGATTCCCCTCCCACACCCTTTCAGTTCCAGCCTCTGTGTCCTTCGATCTCAAATATGGCTCTTTTGCGCAGCATATGGTTTGATCGTGTTTTGTATCTCTTTTGTCAATATTTGCATTTTCTTTATCTTTTCATGCTGCTGAGGCACATTGGGTATAGCTTAGCAGCTTGGGACTCCGGTTGGCTTGGGACACACTCAGACCTCTCCTCTAACAGTGTATCTGGCAACCTAGCAGTCCCATCTGCATGCACTGTGCACACACCCTTCTCCCAGCACTGCACAGAGCAACCTAGTACCCCCATCTGCATCAAGCTGGACGTACACCCAGCTCCCAGCAATGGAATAACGCCTCTCACAACAACCATCAATAACTCCTCCTTTGTGTTCCATTTCTTTTTTCTGTTAATGTGCAGGGGCAGATAAAATAATCACAGGGTCTTTTTTTAAAATTTTAATTTATGGCAGTGCACCGTGTGCACCCTGGTGCCTGTTAAAATCAGAAGGAGACAAATCTGCTGGAGTTGGATTTACACACGGTAGTGAGTCAACACGTAGGTGCTGGGAACCGAATCTGCGTTTTCTGGTAAAGCAGCCAGTGCCATACTCCCACTTCTGTGCTCAGTTTCTACCTGAACGGATTTGGACATATTCAAGATCTGGAGCTAGGGGCTTGATCCAGCCTGAAACGGTTCTGGGTGCATGCGCAGTAAGGCAAACTGTGCTCTCAAAAATGCAGTTTTTACCTTATATTCTGCTTATTCATTCTTGGACGCACCTACGATTAAAATCAGATGCATTATGGGAAAAGTTGCAAGCAACAAAGAAGAGCTTACATAGCCCAAGCCTATCAATAAAGACAGAGCTCCACCCTCTGCTCTTGGTGACCCGCCTCTCCTCCCTTTTGACCCCATAGGACAGTGACTGGGACATTCGAGTCCCTAATTCTGAAGAGCCACAGCATCAGGCACCTGATCTGCACTGTTACCTCTGCTTTTGAATACAGTCCTCTGCCATTTTGAAAGCTAGTTCTTTGAATAAAACTCTGAAACCTAGAAAGACCTTGTTCAGATGGTGACACCCGGAAACAGTGCTGGGCATCTTTTCTTTTCTTTTCTTTTTTTAAAGATTTATTTTTTATTATGTATACAGTATTCTCAGTATTCTGTCTGCATGTCTGTATGTCTGCCTGCAGGCCAGAAGAGGGCACCAGACCTCACTACAGATGGTTGTGAGTCACCATGCGGTTGCTGGGAATTGAACTCAGGACCTTTGGAAGAGCAGGCAGTGCTCTTAACCACTGAGCCATCTCTCCAGCCCTGGGCATCTTTTCTAGATGCCTTGCACACACTAGGCAATTGATCTGCTTTCAGACTGCACCTGCATTTCACTTTCTTTCCTCCTCCCCAACTTTTCTGTTTGTTTGTTAAAAGAAGGGGACTCTCTATACAGCTCTAGCTGGCCTAGAAGTCATTATGTAGACCAGGCTGGCCTCAAACTCACAGAGATCCACCTGCCTGTGCCTCCTGAGTGCTGGGGTTAAAAGGATTGAGATTAAAGGCGTGTGCCAGCATGCCTGTTTCATCCAGTACTGGAGATGGAGTTCAAGGCCCCGTGTATGGTGAGTGCTTTACCAGCTGAGCTACACCCTCTGGCCCAGTGTAATTACTGATGGGATTGAATTTACACCTGTCATTGTAAGGGGTTCATTTTAGTTTCTTATGGGGCAGGTGTCTAGTAATTAAGTCTCTGGTTTGTGTTTTGTTTTCATGTGAAACTGGCTTAATTCCTTTTTCTTTCTCCCTGCTTCCTTCTGTGCTGGGAACCCAATCTAGGCCTTTGTGCATGTTAGCCAAGTGCTCCACCATTGAGCTATAGCTCCAGACTCCGCTTAATGGTTGAATGATAGTTGTGTTGGGTATAGAATTGTCAATAGTTTTTCTTTTAGGATTCTTTGTCATGCCACTGAGTTTTTACAAATCAGTTATTGATCTTACTCAAGATCACTTATATAAAATTAATTAGTTCTTGTTTTCTTCAAGATTCTTTTTTTTTTTTTTTTTTTTTTTTGGTTTTTCAAGACAGGGTTTCTCTGTGGCTTTGGAGCCTGTCCTGGAACTAGCTCTGTAGACCAGGCTGGTCTCGAACTCACAGAGATCCGCCTGCCTCTGCCTCCCAAGTGCTGGGATTAAAGGCGTGTGCCACCATCGCCCGGCTAAGATTCATTTTAAAATATTTTCTATGACAAATATACATCCCTTTGAAGTTAGCCTACTGGGAATTCTCTCAATTTCTTGACTATACAAACTTATAAATACTGGTTTTTGTTAAAATTTTTTAAGTTTCTTAAAATTAAAAAAAGATTATTTGTTTTATTTTATATGTAAGGGTACTGTGTATTGGTGTACCATATACATACAGTGCCAGAGGAATCCAGAAGACTTTGTTCCCTGCAACTGAGTTAGACAGTTGTTAGATGTTGTGTGGGTGCTGGGAATTAAACCTGTGTTCTCTTGAAGAGTAGCCAGTGCTCTAAACTGCTGAACCAGTTCTCGAACATCCTTTCCATACATTCATTGCTCTTTATACTTGATTTGAAAAGTGACTGCTTATTTCATTTGCACATTCATTTACTGGATTATTTGTTCTTTTGATGTTTAAGCTTTGAGTTCTTCATGTATCTCCCCTGGGCACTAATTTTCTGTCAGATGAATAGCTGCCAAAGCCTCTCTCCCGTTCTCTAGGGTGAAGGCTCACTCTGGTAGCTTTTCCTCGGCTGTGTAGGAACTTTTAAATCCTTTTATCAAGACTCGCTCTTTCCTGAGTGACGTGAGCCACAGCTGGAAAGCCATTGCTGTGCCTGGATCTGGAAATGTTTCCCTTTAACAGTGTCTCATATTAAGGTCTCTGGTCCTTGTTGAGGTGCACTTTCTAGTCTATGAGACTATAATAGAAACAGGAACCTCATTTCAACCTTCTGCATGTGGACATCCAGTGTTCCCAGGACTGCTCATTAAGGAAGCTGTCTGGAAGCTTTGTCATGAATTGGATGATTATAGCTTCATGGGTTTA